TTTCTGCAGGCTTTATATATGGCTTTATATCTGAGAGTTTTATAAATAACCCTCAATTCTGTTCCTTTTGTTGCAGATTTTACCATCACATCCACTATATTCTGCTCGATTTAACTGGATTCAGTTTCTACCATCATCGCGCACTGTGCCGGAAAAAGCAGTAGATTCCTCTATGTGTCACTTGTCTGGCAACACTAAGGTATACAAACGAATGAGAGCTATCCTTTTCTTTTATTTAAAAATATACATACATGGTATAGCCTGAAAGTACTGCGCGAAGCTCACGGCTATCTGCGACGTGAAAGGAGTTGCCACCTTCGTCTTCGTTGGGTCGCACCACTCCAGGTCAAATTCTTCTTTCAGACACAACACACACGCTCTTTCCTCTTTTTCTCTGAAGCGATCATATACGTTACCATGTAAAATTGTTATTATTTCCTGAATACAAGCAGTCACAGCCAGCGCCTAGTGGCCGTTTTCCGCTATGCACCATTCGTATCTTGCAGCTAACAGCAGTGACCGGGTAGCTGGCGACCCTTCCTCTCACCTTCCTGTTGAGTTAACGCAGTGGATTTCGGTTAAACTACGGCTCCATTACCTGGAAGGCCGTTGCACGACCGCTTACTACTTGTCTACCGCACACTACTCCTCACATTATCCCCCTCTTTGCACAGCTGGGCCCTACTATTGGACCCTTTGGATGAGCCAAGAACTACCAACATATAATCGCTCATTCCAGCTAGTCAAACGGCAAGCTGCCCTGCTCACTAACTGCGGTTTCGACCTTATTTTCCCAACTTAGGCACCTAATCTGGCTCTGACCTTACGCCTTCTCATCAACTGACGCTCATTGCAGAAAGGAGACACAACATTTACCTCCAATGATAGTCTGTTGCGTCGTAGCCTGAAGGCACTGAATACATGCCATGCAGAAGCCCAATAATAATAGTTTGTTGCGTCCTGATGCAACATCGTAAACCACATCCAGCTCATGGTTTCTGGTTCAGCTGACAATCCCCACCCTGTACTGGGTTCATTTGACTTGGTGTCATCCCCATTTAAGTAATGTTCATTTGATCTCGCAATATCTTCCCTCGCCCGGCACTCACCAGACCCCGCTGCCCGCATTCGACTCCTTCCTCATTCCCCATACTTCAAATTCTTCCATCTCCAACTCCACTGCTGCGTTTTGACACCTGGCCATTTACTCAGGCACCCAAGGTCACTCAAGACCGGCAGCTTTTGTCAGTTTCATTTCAAGCCTACCAGCTTTATCATTGAACTGGTCGTTCATCATGCCTATTGTCCTCATTATTTTTCGGTTCAACAGCTGCGATGAGTCTCTGCGTGATAAGCACGTGTTGTTGGTTGTAACTTTTTCCGTTACGCTATTGCCCGCATCCAGGTCGCAACGACACGATCATGCCTCTATCGTCATGTTCCCTACAAGCTAGGAAAAAACTTATTGTGCTTTCCAACCATGCTCACGTTTCACTCTACTTGAAGGATTGCGTCCAAGCGTTGAAACGATATCTAACCAAGAACATCCTAGAACGAACATTCAGTTTTGTCAAGCTCGCTTTCCTGTTTTCCTTGAGGGACAGAGGCGGAGAAACTACGAGTGATATAACAGTGGAATCTGAGGTTTACAGAGAACATTATTCTGAAGCCAGCTAACCTAGATCGCCTTGCTTATGACAATTTGATATCTCCAGCTCAACATGGATTTATCCAAAACCGTACTTGCGTGAGAAACATGCTCCTGTCCATGGATTACTTAACCCAAGTCAAAGACGAAGGACTGATCGGATGCCATATTTTTCGACTTCCAAAAAGCATTTGATCCTGTCCCACATGTCTTGCTGCTCCACAAACTCGAGTCTAACGGGATTAAGGGGGAAAATACTTCACTGAATCAAGGGTTTTCTATCAGGCAGATCATTCCGAGTGAGAATAAGCTCGATCTACTCTTCTCCAGCGCCGGTCTCCATCGGAGTCCCTTAAGACTCCATTTTAGGACCACTGATGTTTCTGATATACTTCAGCGACCGTCCAGAAGTTCTTGCAAGTCCGTGTTCACTTTTTGCGGGCGACTTGAAATCCTGGAGTTCCAATGCTAATGCCCTCCAAATGGACGTAGACGCTGTAAAGTAGTGGTCGTTGGACTAGCAACTTCCTCCGAATGGCGGAAAGTGCATTCACCTGTCATTCGGAAAAGACTCAGATAACGTATATGTTGTCATGGTGAGAAGACATCACGAAGATAGGTGCCGAAAGTGATTTGGGTATCTGGCTCTCTTCAAACATGTTCTTCTCAGCGCACCATGGGAAATCGGTCCAAAAGGCATTCGCCGATTTACGGACGATTCGGCGCACCTTCTCCCGTATTATTCACATGGGGCCTACGACAGACCGCTTCGTGAATATGCCAATCAAGTTATCTACTGAGGACGGGCGAGCTGCTGTGAAACGCGTCTCGCAGTGCCTGACCTCCAACTTCCTTGTTTGAACCAGGTTTGGCTAACAGGTTAACCGCTGAACCAGCAAACAGACGGCTGAAATATGATAGGATGATTTCCAAGCTCAGAGCGCAAATTTTCGTCAGGCAAGATTTTCTCATTTCGAGTAGTTGCTGCGTAAATTACCCTTTTACCGACAGTTATCTGCGCCCCATCTAGGCTCCAGTTTAATGCACTTTTGGTTACTTTTTGTGATTTCTCCTCCTTCCTCATTCCCCATACTTCAAATTCTTCCATCTCCAACTCCACTGCTGCGTTTTGACACCTGGCCATTTACTCAGGCACCCAAGGTCACTCAAGACCGGCAGCTTTTGTCAGTTTCAGTTCAAGCCTACCAGCTTTATCATTGAACTGGTCGTTCATCATGCCTATTGTCCTCATTATTTTTCGGTTCAACAGCTGCGATGAGTCTCTGCGTGATAAGGACGTGTTGTTGGTTGTAACTTTTTCCGTTACGCTATTGCCCGCATCCAGGTCGCAACGACACGATCATGCCTCTATCGTCATGTTCCCTACAAGCTAGGAAAAAACTTATTGTGCTTTCCAACCATGCTCACGTTTCACTCTACTTGAAGGATTGCGTCCAAGCGTTGAAACGATATCTCACCAAGAACATCCTAGAACGAACATTCAGTTTTGTCAAGCTCGCTTTCCTGTTTTCCTTGAAGGACAGAGGCGGAGAAACTACGAGTGATATAACAGTGGAATCTGAGGTTTACAGAGAACATTATTCTGAAGCCAGCTAACCTAGATCGCCTTGCTTATGACAATTTGATATCTCCAGCTCAACATGGATTTATCCAAAACCGTACTTGCGTGAGAAACATGCTCCTGTCCATGGATTACTTAACCCAAGTCAAAGACGAAGGACTGATCGGATGCCATATTTTTCGACTTCCAAAAAGCATTTGATCCTGTCCCACATGTCTTGCTGCTCCACAAACTCGAGTCTAACGGGATTAAGGGGGAAAATACTTCACTGAATCAAGGGTTTTCTATCAGACAGATCATTCCGAGTGAGAATAAGCTCGATCTACTCTTCTCCAGCGTCGGTCTCCATCGGAGTCCCTTAAGACTCCATTTTAGGACCACTGATGTTTCTGATATACTTCAGCGACCGTCCAGAAGTTCTTGCAAGTCCGTGTTCACTTTTTGCGGGCGACTTGAAATCCTGGAGTTCCAATGCTAATGCCCTCCAAATGGACGTAGACGCTGTAAAGTAGTGGTCGTTGGACTAGCACCTTCCTCTGAAAGACGGAAAGTGTGTCCGTATGTCATTCGGAGGAGACTCAGCGAATGCCTTTGTCATGCATGGCGAGGAAGGACCGGAAAACATCGTGAGGACAGACGCCAAAAAGGAGTTGGGTATCTGGATCTCCTCAAACTTGTCCTTCTCACTGCACCATGAGAAATCGGCCCAAAAGGCATTCGGCATTTTACGGATGATCCGACACAGTTCCGTATCGCTCGCATGGACTTCCAGGTATGCTGTGCGGCCCACGTCAGAGTGCTCCTGGAACACGCCAACCAAGTTGTCTACTCAGGACACACGAGAGACGTCACCCTCATTGGGCGTGTCCAGCGAGCCGGTACGAAAATTGTTTCCGGACTTAAATCCATGGAGTACGAAACTCGTCCCGTGACGCTTGATCATCTTCCCCTTGGAGTATCGTCGCCTCCGAGGAGGCCTAATTCTTGCTTATGTCCTCTTTGATCAAAGCTTGGCCGACAGGATTTTGACCGTCGACCCAGCAAACACAAGGCGGGGACATAGTAAAAAGATTTTCAAGATCAGAGAGCACACATTCGATAAACGAAATTTTTTCTCATTTCGGGTAGCAGCTACTTGGAATGACCTTCCTCCGACGGTTGTCCACGCCCCTTCTAAAACCCAGTTCAAAACACTACTTTATTTTTACCCTTCTAGAACCCAGTTCAAAACACTACTTTATTTTTGCGAATCCTCGGGCTGGCGAGTATACGGGCCCGCGCTGAGAACATAAAGAGTAGTGCAACACCTTTTTTTCACTTGTGCCTTTCAGGTGAACGATAGCCGGTGAACGTCAAGGACATAACCAACCCGGAAACTTCGGGCAATAGCCTCGATCCTGTGTATCAATCCGTGAATCCTGATCTGCTGTGAGGTTTCGAAACATGCGAGTGCTTTCAAGATATATCTTGCCTTTTATGAAAGGCACACATGTATTAGTCTACCTAAAATCTTTTTCAGGCTCAAATACACTAAATAATTGACAGATTTTGACGAACAGCCAGGATATTTGTTTAGCCGCGAATAGTTCTCTGTCCGCTGGCAGATACCTCCCCACTTACGGGCTTGGATTCGATTGGTCCGGGGGCCGACTACTTGACCTTGTTGAGTGACAAATTGCAGCCAACCGTTTGTTTGAGCCCCGCTTGTGGGTAAATGGGTATGCAATGGTTGTTCGATGATTTTCTGTTTCCCGCTAAGTGACGCCAGCCATGAGTGGCATATTAGATACTGGGATTGTGTTTACTCTCCGTGAGTACGATTCGCTGGTATGCCTACTCAGGGCGAGTGCGAAAAAACCCAATCATGGATGCTTTAGGCAACATACAGTCGCATATCGCGTGAACTGCTTCGGTGTATGTGAGCAATTTATAGCTCTGGGCTGGTGCGACGGGACTATATCAGTCATCGCCAAAGACACTGAGTCTGTTGTCCATTCCATCAAAGTACGTTGCATTCTAAAGAATTGCACCAACACTTCCAGCTGCGAGATGATAGACGAAAACCTCTCGCTAGAAACAAGACCAAGTGTATTCCTGAGAACTTGGAAATTCGTTTGAAAGAGGACTTGGTCATCGTGTGCTCTACATATACGGAAAATCCCCATAACTTGACCAGTTCAGGCTTCTCATGGTCGAGTCAGACGATGACGCATATATATCGGATGCCGACTGCGGTCAACGGATCCGTTCTCTTCAAAAAGGTCAGAGACGTCCACTTACGTCACCCATCGAATTTTTCTCCAGCGGCGCTTTTTTGAAATTTACTCCAGGTTTTAACGGGTAGCATAAGGCTTCCAGCGGTTGATGCTCGGGAGAACTTCACTGCCATGCTTCTCACAACGGATTGGTGGATGTAAGCTACCACGGTAGACATGCTTCTCCTAAAGGGTAAAACAAAGTAGTAACTGAGCATTCGTGGATGTCTTTCGAGCAAGGGATGTTTGATCATCCTCGTGGCACTACGCCTTGCGCGCAATTTTCTCACGCGAATACCGGCATGGGACTAAGCTCCTTTTAGTGTACAGTCTGAGTTTACCAGTTAGCTTTTTTTTCTAGGCATCTCTAAGGCGTTTCCAGGCTTCAACAAGCGAAATGTACGTTTCATTGTGGAGTAGGTGCCAATGTGGTGCTCAGGGTTTCATTGATTCGGTGTCCATTTGGAGTTCGTTGGCTTTGGACTCCTAGAGTTTTAAATTGCCACCGAATACGAGAGTTAAGTCTGTTATCACGTCTGGATTGTCATCGAATTAGATTGGTAAGCGACGGTCCCAAACAGATCCCTGGGAATTAAAGCCAGCGAGATGCAGGTTATGTAGATTTTGGGTCAGGACTTTCAGCATGAATGGCATCCCGTCATCCGACGCAGTACTACCCGTTGCCCATATGGCTCGATTTTGTGGAGCAATTGGATGTACTTAATTTGGTCGGGCTTTAAATGGCTCAGCGCAGATAAGAAACAACTGGCAGGCAGGTCTCTGGTTCGTACTCAACCCTGGCTTTCCTATTTGCTCCTCTACGGTCCCGGCTTACCTGACAATAGCACTGCCCTGATGCTACTTTCGAGTTGCACGGCAACTGTGCGTAGAAAAGGTACCACAGTTGAGCATTTATTACTGTTAATAACTTTGAAAAGTTCGAGATGACTGTTGCCGTTTCACGTGCTAAGCTGCCCTTAAAAATGAGCATGTTTGTAACCTAGTTGCTGTTCAGTCTGAATCCGGGTTGAGCGGAGGATATTAGGTAGCAATTAACTTCTCGCTATGATGCGAGATGATGATGTGAAATTCAGTGGTTTTGCCTTGCATCGGGATGGATGGAATTTGCTGCGTTTCTTGTTTTTATCTTAGGGAAATGGAGCTTGACTCCTGATCACACAAAGGCATGGCCGGATCCGCTCGGGTGTCCTATTTTAGCTCCTCTGTACGACCGGCAACCGAATTCCAAGGGCACACCAAGACACGTCCGATTTGAGAGGTACTCTAATACCACGTTAGTAAATACCGTTTAGGGTCCTGGAAACGCTTATCTGCCTTATGTTAGCTTTGTTGGTTGGACCTCTACTTACTGTTATCGTTAGCACAGTTGCAAGTCTTATGGCATGTATTACTCATTATCTTACATTACTACTTCCTTCTATTTAATGGTTGTACTTGTTGGTAGCTTCTAGGGGATTTGCTGCACCTATAATGAAGGGCACTGCAAGCGAAGGACTAATGATCGAGGAGAAAATCAGAGAGTGATCATTAAACGCGGTTTCGCAGTGCCATATGTAAAGTAAATCTGAGACCAAAGGCCATTCATTTTTCTTTATGATTCTTCGGTGGACCACTAAGGCTCAAGGTGACTGTCACAACTCACTCCAGCTAGCAGGATAGATGTATGAAAACGTGAAGAATATTGACCAGCGGTTTTTCGTTTATTGAACCACCACTGAAATCATCGTTATTTCGATTAGATTGGTCCTTCTTAAACTTTTCCGCGTTCAGGTTGTGCGCTTTCTCATCTGTGGTACGCGGCACAACCGGTTGTTGGCGCGTCCTTACGTGTCCGCCAGCGGGAACCTCGTGATAACAGGCGACTTACGGGGGATGATAACTGCCCACAGATTCAACCAAAAGGTACGTACATATCCTGACCAGCTGCATCACACCTTTAATCCTGTTGGTAAACTTGAAAGTTTAGTAGTTCTGTCGTATTCGTATACCGTTCGGTCGTTTACTCACTACTTCTTGTCCAATGGCTTTGTCTAGATGGCTTCCTACAGTTCTTCTACCCTGACGGCTGTACCTGGCTATGTGCGTGATATCCAAGTTCAAGGCAGCCTTCTGCTAATTACTGTGCAAGCATTTCCTCAAAACAGAAGACACGAAGAAGACGATTTGATAGAGATAGTTTGCTCTGAAGATGTACGTCTTTATATACTCGACCTGTCAACCAAGAACTTGATCCAACTTAACCTTTTGGATCTGCTCCCTCAGAAAAATCCGTTCCAAAAGTGAGTGTCCTCTTTCTATTTGTTGTGTGAACTAGCCTTCACTGACCGCATGGTTGAATGTGTAAAAGTCCTGGTGAAATTGCGATGTTGGAATTGAATCTGGATCATGAAAGTGTTTTGGATTCCTGTGGGTTAAGCCACGATTTACATCAAGGACTACTTGCCGGCGGATCTCGTGAATACCGATAACATTGGGTTTAATAGGTGATTCCTAGCTACCTATCTAAATGAGAAAATTTTTCTATTATGTCTTGAGTGACTACCTCACTGTTTCACATTGAACACCTCAGCATAGCAGCATGTTAATGTAAAACTCCAATAAGAACACCAACAACTGAATTATCCGTTAGAGGTAAAAAGTCTCTGCTGTAGGGACTTGCGTCTACGATATTATCGTATACTTTGCTCTGTTCTGGAGAGGAATCTGCCTACAAGGATTGGTACCTTATTGGATATCCCTAGAAATTTGCCTACATGGGGCAGTAGACTAAAATGAAAGTTTTCTGCACCAAGAGGTATTACAGTTCTGTTTGAAACAGAGTGGATTATTTCCGTTGGTGGCTTGTTGAGCTCGAGGTAGGTCAGTGGTTAAGGTTCACACTTAATGGCCGAATCGTCCGCTGTCCGAACCAAACCTCAGTGTTTCAACCTCTCCTATCTAGGCTTGGGCTACCTGATAGTATCTCAACCCTCGTGCTTCCGTCAGAGTGTATGGCAGCTATGCACCCAAATGGCGCTACAGCTGAACGCTAATCAATCACACAGAGCTTCCAGTATGTGGGGTACCTTAACGATTCAATTCCAACGAAGCTTGTTATGGGACTCACTGGTCAACGGATTGCAGATAATCCAGTGATTTGAGCTATCAGCTATCAGTTTTTAGTCTTTTTATGTACCCGAGTTTCTTATAAACGTGTCTCGTTTCTAGCTTCCGATAAGAGTTTTTAAAAGAGCGAAACAGGCTCCTATAGTTTAGATACAAATTGGACTTGCTCCGACGACCAAGCACAGCAAAAATGAAATTAGCCGGGGAATGCTCGATTATGGATCCAGGGCAAGTGTCACAATACGACACCGTCACCATCTAACATGATGTCGACATATCAATATCTGTGGCCCCTGCTGTAGTTGTCACAAAAACTGCTCAATCGGATTGGCAACTGATATGTTGACTCAGCTTTATTTGCCCATAGGCAAATAAAGCACCAGGCACCGCTTTTGTTGCTCTAGAATTTTCTAAATTAGGAGTGTCCCTCAAGACTAATAACTGGGCAACGAATGCTTTCATTCCTTTTAATCTTGTGGACAAATGGTGGTTCTTCTGTTCAATTGAACACGACAAAATGAGATCGACCATGAGACCAACACTGGTCTCCCCTTAGGTGACTATCAGTTTCCCGTTTTAGTGCAATATCAGTGTTTTGTGGAACCGTGCAAAATCACTTCAAGCGAATGAACAATCATCACTCTGAGTAAACCAACGGTTACGGTATTTTTTGGACAAATCACAACGTTGCCATCATCCTGGGTGCTAACTAAAACAGATGATGATGGGTCGGATCATCGGAACACGCTGGAAAATTCTTTAGGGTGAATTGTTGTGCACGAAAGGTGATATTCATGAAGTTGGTGAGAATTTATTGAATGAATGTGTCTCTGCTTGTTCGGACTTGTTATCCTCTGATGGAATGTGAGAAAAGTCTGATTCGTCATCATCACAAACACCAATGTACATGTTGCTGTACAACTTTGAGGAAGACCTTAGATACCTGCATTTTCGGGCAGCGCTAAAATAGACATATCTGAGTATCATGTCGGAGGCATGAGCAAGATCGACCCAACGTCTTTTGGGAACCTCATCCGACATACACAACGACAGGCGAACTATAGCTAGTCAGTCTGGCTAGGAAATAACAGCAGTGCACCACTGTGTGTGGTTGCGCACCATATCCTATAGGGATTCCTTGGTCGTATGTAGCTCCTAGTGCTGTCTATGGCCTTTTGGTAGAATGGATGGATCTAAGCGGTTGAAAAGGCGAATACCGAGTACTGAATAATTTCTGTTTTACAACCATTCATCCCCATCTTAAGAAGCGAACCGCACTGATCCAGCGTACAGCTGCGCCCGAGGACCACAGTTCTGGGGCCACAGTCGAGGTGTCACCCAGGTGATAGAGCTTAGTTTTTCACGCTTCGGCAACCGATTGAAACCTGATCCGTGGTTCGAATCCGACATCTGCATGTCAGATTCCCTTGTCTAGGCTTGTGCAACCTGGTAGTATCCCAGCCCTCGTGCTGCTTTCGGGTGTCATGGCAGCTAGGCGCCGAGAGCGTGCTACAGTTGGACGGTCATTTTTGTTACTATTATTCCCTCGGTAGCGAGGTTTAATAGCATTGGTGATAGCTAGCAAGTCTGCCGTATGTCAGAACCCAAACATGACCGTATCTTCCCCTCCCTCACCATAAACTTGAATGCGGGCGGATGTATTTCACTATCATACCCTGATTAAAACTAGTATCCTATCAGGTGAGCATCTGCTTTCACAGTGGCTTAAAGAAGGTTTTTCCAACGGCGTTAAACGTTGGTGGGAATTCTGTAAAACAAGCTGAATTGGAATGATGAAAGCTAAATCGATGACCTGATCATTTGATCCGCACAGCCTCTCCCGTGTCTGAAGCCTCCCTACTTTAGTCCTTAGTTTCTTTAATTTACTGATGTCGCGCACGATAGATAGGTTCGCCATACAATCTACCAAGTTGATTCACCAATATTTCTCGCAAACTCTCTTGCCTTCTCTCTGGGATGTTTGGAGCATTTTGAGGTGCTCCAGTCTATCAGAAACCTCCGTGTTCCACGTAGTCCAAAGAAACTCCGACAGACGGAGTCCTTTTTGGGTGCCCTTACTTCCTGAAGGCTTTCCGTTATGGTCATTGGCCTGTTAGCTAAGCTGGGCAATTTGATTGCAAACGTTTCATCATCAATTTACATTACATCATCAGTGCGTTATTGCGGAGCGTAGTTGTGCGTAGCGGTGGGTTAGTGGTTGTGCTTTCCGCTATCGACCACTTTGGCTTGGCTTGGTCTGTGTGGACGGTTTAGGATGCTGAAGCTATGCTACGCGGAATCTTTATTAGACTTCCAAGTACGCTTACTGGAGGTGTACTAAGGTGCCCAGGACCAGTTGCTAGTTTTTCCTTTTGGTTTCGTTTGCTGACTCGAAACACAGTGGGGGAGACAGAACAGCCGTCAGTTTTTATCAACTGAAGCCACCTCAGTATTGGAACCCCCGTCCGTCCCGTAGTTCAGGCAATCCATTCTTTCAGAGTTTGTAGTTTTGCAACACAAATTGTGAAATTTGAGTGCGTTTGACGAATGATCCTTGCTAGTTACTTTGGAGAGTTGGGAGGTTTTGTTTGAACCGTATTCTCTACCGCGATGTGATGTATGGACCAACTGGACTGCGGCAGACTGTTTCATTACTGACTTAGCCTTTACGATGCTTCTTCTACAAAGACGAGTCGGGTGTTAGAAAATGTGGTTTTTTGTCGACTGGTTGGTTTCTATGTTCGGTAATGTTCTAGTTGTTTTCCTGGACCGTTCAGAAAGATCACTTTCAAAGATTCAACAGGTAACCTTTTATATTTGTAATGTACTACTCGTAAGGTTGCTGAAAATCCATCGACAGCCCACGACCGGTTTCGCCCTTCTTGGGGCTCATCAGGTAGGCGCAGTCCCCGGGTTTCCGTCAACCTTATGTTCTACTTGAAACCAAATTGCACGAAATTAGCGAATATACACTCATCTGCAAACTAACTTGGTTCTTTCGAGAGACTCACCTGGAACTCAGCTGAATCTCTCGTTTGTGGTGTGCTCAGGCAACTGAATGTGCTGCACCAGGCCGCCTCATGTTTCAGTCGCTACGATATTGAACGTATATTGAACAATATTGAACATAAGGTTGACGGAAACCCGGGGACTGCGCCTACCTGATGAGCCCCAAGAAGGGCGAAACCGGTCGTGGGCTGTCGATGGATTTTCAGCAACCTTATGAGTAGCACATCACAAATATACATGTATCGCGATATTTCAGATATCGTAGCGACTGAAACATGAGGCGGCCTGGTGCAGCACATTCAGTTGCCTGAGAACATCATAAACGAGAGATTCAGCT